AATTGCCTGCATTTGGTCCATATCCCTCTAAACCCTTCCCATCCATGTATCTATCCAAATGTTTTTTTAAGTGTTGCTATTGAACCTACCTCAGCCGTTTTCTCTAGCAGCCTATTCCATATACACTGTCTGCATGAAGAAGTTGCCCCTCAGGTCTTTCTTAAATCTAGCCCCTCTCACCTTAAATCTATGCCCTCTGTTTTCAATTCCCTGTTCCTGAGAAAAAGACTATAAGCATTCATCCTATCTATGCCCCTCATGATTTTATACACCTCAATAAGTTACCCCTCATTCTCCTACGTTCCAAGAATTAAAGTCCTTTCCTGGCCAACCTCTCCCTATAACTCAGGCCTACTCGTCCTGGCAACATCCTCATAAATCTTCTTTGCACACTTTCCAGTTTAACTATGTCTTTCCTATAAAAGGGTGACCAAAACTGTACAGAATACTCCAAGTGCAGCCTCACCAATGACTTATACAACTGTAACATAACGTCCCAACTCCTATACTCAATGCCTCAACCAATGAAAGCCAGTATGCTAAATGCCTTCTTCACCACCCTGTCCACTTGTGACGCTGCTTTCAACAAACTATTCCTAGGTCCCTCTGTTCCACAACAGTCCTCAGGACCTTATCATTTACTGTATAAGTCCTACCTTGGTTTGACTTTCCAAAGTGCAACACCTCACACTTATCTGTATTGAACAGCATTTGCCAATCCTCAGCCCACTTCCCCATCTGATCAAGATCCCTCTGTAATTTTTTGATAACCTTCCTCACTATCAACAATACCTCCTAATTTTGTATCATCCGCAAAATTATTAATCATGCCTTGTACATTCACATCCAGATCGTTTATGTAAATAACAAATAACAAAGGTCCCAGCACAAACCCCCATGCCACCCCACCAGTCACAGGCCTCCAGTCCGAGAAACAACCTTCAACCATCACCCTCTACTTCCTACCATCGAGCCAATTTTGAATTCAATTAGCTTGCTCTCCCTGGGTCCCATGCGACCTAACCTTCATGACTAGCCTGCCGTACGGAACGTTATCAAAGGCCTTACTAAAGTCCATACAGACAACATCCACTGCCCTACCCTCATGTATCCTCTTGGTTACATCTTCAAAAAAGTCAAAGATTTGTCAGACATGACTTTCTGCGCACAAATCCACGCTGACTATTCCTTATTAGACTTTGACTTTCCAAATGTTGTTCGATCCTGTCCCTCAGCTTCGACTCCAATAACTTGCCTATCACTGGTGTCAGACTCACAGGCCTGTAGTTTCCTGGTTTGTCTTTGCTACCTTTCTTAAACAATGGAATGACATTAACCACCCTCTAGTCTTCTGAAACCAGTAGCTAAAAATAAAGCAAAAATCTCTGCAAGAGCCTTTGCAATTTCTCCCCTAGTCTCCCACAACGTCCAAGGATAGACTTGGTCAGGCCCAGGGAATTTATCCACCTTACTGCGCTTTAAGGCTGCAAACACCTCCTCTCTGGTAATATGTATACGGTCCAAAACACACCCATTTGTTTCCCTGTAGTAAAGTAAACACTGAGGAGAAATATTCTTTAAAAATCTCCCCCATCTCCTGTGGTTCCACACATTGGCGGCTTTGATGATCTTCAAGGGACCCATTGTCTCCCTGGCCACCCTTTTACTCTTAATATAGCAATAGAACTTCTTGGGATTATCTTTGAACTTGTCTGCCAGATCTATCTCATACCCTCTTTTTGCTCTTCTGATTTCCCTCTTAAGTGTGCTTCTGCACTTTTGATAGTCATCTAGGGATTCACTTGAGCCTGATGGCTTAAACCCAATGTATGCCTTCCTTTTCCTACCAGAGCCTCAACGTTCCTCATTAGCCAGGGATCCCTAAACTACCAGCTTTTCCCTTCAACCCAACATGGACATACTGTCCCTGCAGGCTTGAAATCACATTTTTAAAAGCATCCCATTTGTCAGTCGTTCCTTTTCCTCCAAACAGACTCACCCAATCGACCTCGGCTAGATCCTGCCTAATGGCCCCAAAATTGGCCCTGCTCCAGTTCAGCACCTTAACCTGTGCACCTGTCCTATCTTTTTCCGTAACTATGTTAAAACTAAGAGAGGTATGGACACTGGACCCATAGTGCTCTCCGAATGACACTTCAGTCACTTGCCCGACCGCGTATCCTAAGAGGAGGTCCAGTGTTGCACCCTCCCAAGTAGGGCCCTTCACGTATTGATTTAGGGAATTGTCTTGGACACTCAACAAATTCCACCCCATCTGCATCTTTTACACTCTGGGTGGCCCAGTTACTTTAGGGGAAATTAAGATCTCCAACCAATACTACTCAATTATTCCTACAAGTATCTGCAACATCTACACACATCAGCTCCTCTAGGACTGCTGGCTATTTGGGGGTCTGTAATACAGTCCCAACAGAGTGACCATCTCCTTCTTGTTTCTAAGTTCTAACCATATGGCCTAATTTGATGACCCCTTAACAATATCCTTCTAAGCACTGTTGCTACGTCCTCCCTTATCAAAAGGGCAACTCCACCACCTCGCTTACTTGCTCTTGTGTCGTGCCTGTAGCTTCTGTATGCTGAAACATTGAGCTGCCAGTCCTGCCCTTCTCTCAGCAATGTTTCTGTTATGGTTGAGGGAAGGGCAGGACTTCTAATGAAATTTGAAAACTCTTCTGAACATAACTGAGACACT